AGGGGGGGGGGGTGTTATTTTCCAATAGATTTTAATCTATTGGAAAATTCCACTGATTATGCATTCATTTAAAAATGAATGCATAATCAGTGGAAATTTTCCTTTTTGTCTCGGAACAAAAGTTTTACCTTTGAACACAATTTTTTTCTCATCTCCCTAGGATTATTTTCCTAACCCAAATTTCATTGTGTATCCTGTAGCCATATGTGCAATGCATTTGGAATTGTTAAGAGGATATCTAGAGAGTAAATGAATTTTTTCACTTCCTAAAATGATTATCTATTGAAAAATAACACCCTCCCTCCAAGTTAACAATTTTATTTAAGATTTTTTGGCCAAAACTGTAAATATAAATAATGTAAATGTAAATATAAATAATTGAAATTTTCTCATCTAGATTGTCATTTTCAATAACTTTCAACATACTAGCATCGCTATTTCACTTTTCCTGTGTCTTAGTGCAGGCTAGAATAAGTTGCACCAGGCCTGCTGTATTTTTAGGAGGCTCCAAAAAAGATTGTAAACAAACAGTGGTTTCAGTTCGGGTAACTTAGGCAGCTTCCAACACGTTTTTGCGGCGCAAGAACATTGATTTTCCTACTCCCCAAATGTCATGTAATATGAACCCAGGTAGGCTTATAGCATAAGAAAATGTGTAAAACAACAACATGTATGTTTAGAATAGTGAAAATCTTACATGATATCAACCTGAATGTTACTGGCTGTTTCCTCAGAGCTGGTTAGCGAAGGACTGCCCCAACCTGCGGATCCTGTCTGTGGAGTACGACACCCACCTGAGTGACTGGCAGCCCATCTGTCCTGTGGAACAGGAAAAGTCTGCTGTTTTCTAGTCTTCTTCTTCTTGCTTTTTGTATACAATTTACAAATAACACAATAGCTCCTACAGTCAGTCAAACATGCACATGGTTACATGCATAATGATGGAGCAATCTATCCTGTGAAATAGACGACATCTGCCCGGACATTTAAAAAAAAAAAACTTTAATTTTAGGGTTTTATACCAATGTCCACCAAAACTCAAACCAGTGTTTTTCATTTCTATCCTGAGAAAGAAGTGAAAACAATTTAGTGTCTTATATCACTCCTTATACTGTAACAGTATGTCCGCCAAACCTCAAGCCATTGTTTCTGTTTTTTGCCAACCCACATAGCTCCCATCACAATTTTATTTTCTTCCTTAACCACGTTTTTCTTTTTTTTTTACTTTCTGATTTTCAATCGGTTGTCACCTGCAAAGAAATGATAACAATGGTTTGAGTTTTCATGGACAGAAGGCTTTCAAATTTGTAACTAGTATAATCCTAGTATTTGAGTCGTGCCTCTTGTCTCTTTATTAATTCACAAACATTCAAGGGTCAGGTGTAACAAGTCGATCGGTGTAATGTAGCCAGTTGCCACCACACTGCGAAGCTGGTGTATTGAGCCGAAGGGCGGTTATACCGGCTATACAGGTACAGAACATCCCATATTTGGCTGTATGGACACCTGTTTACATCTAGAGGATCCACGCAACCAAGGAATAACATGGGTTGTAACAAAAGGAAACTCTTTCCAGGAATAACAACTACACAATGTGTTCATTAATTGGGTGTAGTGTTTGAGCACACTGTCCATTGATTCTCTGTCTGCAGGCTGAGGGCTCCGGAGATTATTCCTGTTGGACATTCATAGGTAATCAGGCATTGACGCAATGAGATGTATTGTTGGTCTGGGATGTTCCTCATGTTATCATAACATCTCCCCCTCACAGACGTTCCCTAGCCAACCGGAGCAGGGAGATTCTGGAGAAGTTGAAGGCCGCAGGAGTGGGAACACGGCCCATTATCTGGGTCACACACTCCATGGGGGGTAAGTCGGACAAGACAAGGTTAGGGACTGTGCCATATTTATAATGTAGCAGAGGCCCTTACCATTCAAAACTATGTTTTAATGGGCCAGGACAATTTTTTGACTTGGGGATAGGGCCATAATTTTTTTTGACCGTGGGGGAGGGCCTTGAAAAACTTAGTTGACCTGGGGGAGGGCCATGGAAAAATTTTAGAGTTGGGGGGGGGGGGTCAGGTAAATTTTGTTACTGGGGGAGGGGTTAGGGCCATGGAAAATTTTTGGGCCTTGGGAGAGGGTCGTGAAAATTTTTTGGGTATTGGGGCAGTGCATGGAAAATTTTTTGACTTGGGGAGAGGGCCATGAAAATTTTTTTAGAATTCAACTCTCTGACAAGCAGCCTTCTCCTATTAACTATTGTACAGTCCCTTACCTTCAGGTCTATCAGCCCAAGG